AGAACTCACACCACTACCATTCTGTTTTCCAACAGTTTCTTCCAAAGTGAGACTCAATGGGCAATTTGTTCACCTTCCAAGTTGTCATAGGAGATACAAAACCATCAGATATTTTATTCTGAAGAGCATAGGTCTTTATCTTTCCAGCCCCAAATAGCAGTTTCTTCACAGTTTACCAACCCTGGTTAAACCAGCGCCACATGTTTCAGATTCTTGTAATAACAACATCTCATCCGACCAACTGAAATATTAGAGAAACACTAGCTGTACCAACATACATCAGTTTTCAGTGTTTTAACTAAACAGGTTTACTTCTTGGTTGTGTAACAGTCTAAGACAGGTTTTTGGTGGGCATACTTTCACATGGTAATCCAGGAACCCAAGCTTTTCCCATTTTGTGACTCTGCCGTTGCCTTGGAGCTCGGCGTCTTTCAGTTTCCGGTAGCAGATGGTTAACCAGGGAGCGGAGGGAGCACGTTCACTTACGTCCACTTCAGCCCCAAAGTGAGACCCATCACTTCTACCCACAACCTATTGGCAAGAATTAGTCTGATAGTTTGCCTCAGTGCAAGAGGCAGAGAGGGACACAGCGTAGGGTGGGGTGAGGAGCCTGAGAAATGTGGCCTGTGATCAGAGTGACGGTTGCCAGCAACAATTCCACATGACGGAAGGGGGAGTCAAGTCTTCTGTGGATAGTTGGCTGTCTTTGTCCCACCTGCCGTAAAGGAAAGTCTAAAGGAAGTTTTTTGGTAGTTGGAAAAGTACCTCAGAGAAAAAGTCCGAGTTTCAGCAAAAAATTAAAGAGCGGAGAAAGCGGTAATGGTTTAGGTAACAGTAAATGACCATTGACTGCAGTACAAGTGGTGAGAAGTGCTTGGATTCTGGATACACTTTGAAGATGCCACAAACTGGAACTGCGGCCAGACTGAATGTGGGTGAGAGAGAGCTGAGGAGGAGTCCCAAGTTTTGAGCTTAGTTAACAGGAAGGAGGAGAATTCGGTATAGTTCCATTGCCTCACGTAAGCCCAGAGTTTAGCCTGCTGTACTGATGAACAGTGAAACCCCAAGCCCCGGATGACAGAAGCCACATCCTCACCCTCCCAAATACAGAGGAGCTGCACCATAAGTGCAATTTTTCACTGCTCTTCTAGGTTCCTGCAACAGGCCTTACTTTCTTCCAAATTCAGCTATGAATTTCAGTTTGCTTGTTATATTTTATCTAGCACTTCTGAGTAGCAATAGTGGCAGGAGGGTTGAGGGGTTAGCTAATCCACCATATCGCTAGATCTTTTAATTTCTCATTAAATTATGTCCTTTTTTAAAAAGATTTTACAGGGCACCTGGGTGGCTCAGTGGGTTAAAGCCTCTGCCTTCAGCTCGGGTCATGATCTCAGGGTCCTGGGATCAAGCCCCGCATCGGGCTCTCTGCTCAGCGGGGAGCCTGCTTCCCCCTCTCTCTCTGCCTGCTTCTCTGACTCCTTGTGATCTCTGTCTCTGTCAAATAAATAAATAAAATCTTTAAAAAAAAAAAAAAGATTTTACTTATTCATTTGAGAGAGAGAGAGACAGAGCACAAGTAGGAGGAGAGACAGTGTGAGAGGGAGAAGCAGACACCCCCCAAGCAGAGAGCCCAACTGGGGGCTCAATCCCAGGACCCTGAGATTATGACCTGAGCCGAGGCAGACGCGCAACCATGGGAGCCCCAGATTACATGTCTTTCTTATGGAGAAAGTGGCAACATCTAAACACTATGAAAATATGGCCCCCCCCCAAAAAAATTTAAGAGATTTTATTTCACCCTACGGCCTTACCTTCCAAACAAATTTCACTTTTATGCATGCCTGATTACATGAAAAAAAAATTACTTTCTCTTTGAAGCCAACTGAATAGAAGTAGCTCAATAAAATATTTGACTAAAGTATTTTAGTTTTTCTCACAATATTTTCACACAGCACATAATCATTCTCACTAAAACCTCTATTTTAACAAAATTGGTTCTCTCTTTTCTCTTGATCTTTATGTAAAAGACTCTACTGCATGTTCTTAGGAAACAGATTTGGCTTTTTTTTTTTTTTTTTTTTTTTAAAGATTTTATTTATTTATTTGACAGACAGAGATCACAAGCAGGCAGAGAGGCAGGCAGAGAGAGAGGAGGAAGCAGGCTCCCCGCCGAGCAGAGAGCCCCATGCGGGGCTCGATCCCAGGACCCTGAGACCACGACCCGAGCCGAAGGCAGCGGCTTAACCCACTGAGCCACCCAGGCGCCCCCAGATTTGGCTTTTTAATAAAAACTAGGCCCATAAGCTTTCTCTCAGTCAGTCTATAGGTAAATACGGGTCATGAATTATAATTTGGCAGATTAAACAGGTACATTTATTTTGGTATACTCTCAAAACTCTAATAAATTGATAGGTAAAGCAATAATTAGGGATTTTAATATATAAAACAATGTATAAAATGTATAATGTGTAATAATAATACATGTATAATGTATAAAAAGCAAGAGAAAGATGCCTGGGGAGCTCAGTCAATTAAGCTTCTCTTTGATTTCGGCTCAGGTTATGGTCCCAGGGTGGTGGGATTGAGCCCTGTGACAGACTCCACACTCTGCCAGAGTCTGCTTGGGATTCTTTCCCTATCTCTCTCCCTCTGCCCCTTCCCCTGCTTACACTCCCTACGATAAAATAAGTAAGTTCAAAAAAAAAAAAAAAAAAAAAGGAAGAAAAGAAAAAAGAGAAAAGGGGCGCCTGGGTGACTCAGTGGGTTAAGCCTCTGCCTTCAGCTCAGGTCATGATCTCAGGGTCCTGGGTTAAAACCCTGCATTGGGCTCTCTGCTCAGCAGGGAGCCTGCTTCCCTCTCTCTCTCTGCCTACTTGTGATTTCTGTCAAATAAATAAATAAAATCTTAAAAAAAAAAAAAAAGAGAGAAACAAGAGGAAAGACAACAGGTAAGAAATGTCAACAATTTTGGAAGCTAGAAAATGGATTATGAGTACTCGTTAGCAAGTTTGTAGAGAAGACATTAAGATGCAAGCCGATCCAGGTCATAGAACCTTGGAAGGGATCAGAAAGTGGAGAACATGGTACTTGTAAGCATAGACATGCAGTGTTTAAGTCTGAGAAGAAGAGACCAGGTATAAAGGCTCTAAAAGGAACATGTCACCTGCAGGACCTTTCCCACATTTTACAGCCATATTGCTTCCTCTCCCTACCCCTGACAAAGGATAATAAATATTATTTAAAGACAATATCAGAGAGGCTCTAAACTCAGACACCATGTGCAGTTGAGGCCAGAGTGACCAGCATATTAAAGTCAGATGGATTAAGTGAAAAACCTGATCTTGAATATCTGTATTTTGAATATGGTGACCATTCCCCAATCTCTGTCTACAGAAAAGTTAACAGAAGGTAATACATCCTCGAAACAAGGATAAAAAACCACATGAAAGCTTACTCATAGGACAAAAGAGATCTTTTGGAAATAAAAACAATAGTAAAAATTTAAAATTGAATGGAATTATTATAATATAAAGTCGAGATACTCTCTCAGAAAGGAGAGCAAAGAGAGAAAGAGGAAAGATAAGGAAGACAGTAAATTAGTCTGAGAGATCCAACATATGAATAACAGCAATTTCAGGGGCACCTGGATGGCTCAGTGGGTTAAGCCTCTGCCTTTGGCTCAGGTCATCATCTCAGGGTCCTGGGATCAAGCCCCACATTGGGCTCTCTGCTCAGCAGGGAGCCTGCCTCTCCCTCTTACTCTGCCTGCCTCTCTGCCTACTTGTGCTCTCTCTCTGTCAAATAAATGAATAAATCTAAAAAAAAAATAATAATAACGGGAGTTTCAGAAAAAGAACATGAAGGAATCAAAGGAGAGGAAATCAGAGTAATACAAGAAACATTCCTAGAACTAAGTAACATGAGTTTCCAGATTGAATGAACAAAACAAGGACCATAGCCGGCTATGTAATCCTGAAATTAAAGAACATCAAAAAGGAAGAGAGATTTTAGTTTTCAGAGAGAAAACACAAAGGCCTGGCCATTAGAATAGCACCACATTTCTCAATAGCAATGTACAGGTGCTGAAGAAAAGCAGAAGAATGTTCTGTGTTAGGCACTGTTGTTGATGTAGCGGTGAGTGAAGCGTACCAAAACCTCTGCCGCCGTGAAGCTCACTTTCTTGACAATAAGTAAAATTTGCACAATGTGGGGCACCAGGGTGACTCAGTCAGTGAGCATCCGACTCTTGATTTCGGTAGTTCCGGTTATGATCTTAGGGTCGTGGGCTCGAGCTCCATGTCAGGCTCCATGATGAGAGCAGAGCCTGCTTAAGATTCTCTCTCCCTCTCTAAAAAAAAGATAAAAAATAAAAATTTATATAATGCTAGATAAGAGGTAAGTACTCTAGAGAAAAATAATGTATTGAAGGAGAATATTATTTTTCTGGATGGAGAGGGGAGTAGCAATGTCTTTAATGAATTAATTTTTTTAAAGAGAGTAAGTGAGCAGGGACAGGGACAGGGGGAGGGCGCAGGAGAATCTCAAGCCGACTCCGTGCAGAGCGCAGAGCCCCATGCAGGGCTTCATCTCATGAGCCTGAGATCATGACCTGAGCTGAAATCACGAGTCGGCTGCTTAACCAACGAGCTACCCAGGCTCACCATGGGGGTGGGGAGTAGCAATTTTAAATAGGGTTGTAAGGGATTTAAGTGAAATCATGAAGTGAAGATGAGGAAACTGAAGCTCAAAGAGTGAGTAACCTGGTCGCGGTCACGGAGTTAACAAAGCTCACACAAGCCCAGCTGAACACAGTAGGGAGGGCGTCTGGAATCTTGGTGCATTGATCATACCATAAAAGCTGTTCACGCTTACTGAGACTCTGAGACTGGTCAAAACCAAGCTCAGGCTATGCTTTCAGACAGCTCTGAGGAGGACTGGGCTGTGCCCATGAACCCACATACAGAAAGAAAACATGATGTTTGTGTTCATTTTTATTTCAGGCCAAAGAATCCCCAAAAACGAGAAAGGCTCTTAGGAGGATGTGGCGGAAACACTTCAGAAAGGTCATAATCATCACTGTGGCCATCCTCCTCTCCATCATCATCATTCTTCTAAGTACGAATGTGATACCAGCCTGACCCCTATCCTCCCCATGCCCAGCAATTACCAATAAATGGTTACGTGTAAACAGAGGAGTCCACAACCAGCGATTACAAAAGTATCCTCTGGTGCAGGAAGACTGCAGGAAGTGGGGCTTGGATGTCCTTCCTCGTGCCTCGGTGGGCCTCGTCCCTGCTGCAGTCCCATTTGTTGTTCCCACTTCCAGCTATTTCCCAGCCTCTCGTCCCTTAGTCAAGACGAGGAGCACAAACCGTGGAATCACATCACTGAAGCTTAACCCTCCACTCAGCCACATACCAGCTGGGTGACTCTGGACCAGTTATTTAACCTGTACCCTTGTCTCCTCATCTGTAAAATGGAGCTGATAGCAATGCCGCATAGCATAATATCTACCACATAGCACTATCTGAGTGTTAACTATTACTTCCTAGGGAAAAAAATGATTGCGTTTGTGGCATTAAATCTCTATTATCTTACTCCTTAGGAAAAAAATGACTGTGAACTTCTAATTTCCTTAGAAATAGGAGTCTTAACACGAGTATACAGTCCAGAAACAGACATTCACCTCTTCTACATATTCTTTCATTTGAAATGACAGCTCAACCCACTGTTTTATACTAGACATTTCCTTGGATAAAAATTTTTAAATTACAAAGCTGTATTATTTCCCTAATAAGTCACAAGTCCTATTTTACCACCCTAACAACCTTTTTTTCCCCCACATGATACACTTCATCCAATAACCTCAAATCACTAAGATTTCTAACAACCAAAGCATCCAACTTCACTTTGCGGTTGTTAACACTTCATGAGTTGTATCTCCTAAGTAGGAACTTGAAGTCTAAAGTCGGTTTTAAAAATCACTCGTTGGGGGGGCACCTGGGTATCTCATTCACTAAGGGTCTGCTCGAGTCATGATCCCAGGGTCCTGGGATCGAGCCCCACATCCTGCCCCCTGCTTGGCAGGGAGCCTGCTTCTCCCTCTGTCTGATGCTCCCCCTACTTGTGCTTACTCTTTGTCAAATAAAATCTTTAAAAAAAAAAAATTTAGTGGGGCGCCTGAATGGCTCAGTTGGTTAAGCATCTGCATTCAGCTCAGGTCATGATCTTGGGGTCCTGGGGTTGGTCAAGCCCCACATCAACCGCTGCTTCTCCCTTTCCCTCCGCCCCTCCACTGCCGTACTTGCTTCTCACAAATAAAATCTTTTAAAAAAATAAAAATTAAAAGTTAAAATCATTTACTGATCCATAGGGAAGAATAAAAGAACAGGGGTTCCTATCTGCTAAATAACTCATTTTAATTCTGATAATGATCAAGTATCAGCATTTTTTAAAAGGATTTTTATTTATTTATTTGACAGAGCACAAGCAGGGGAAGTGGCAGGCAGAGGGAGAGGGAGCAGCAGACCCCCCACCACCACGCTGAGCAAGGAGCCGGACGCAGGACTCCATCCCAGGGTCCCAGATCATGACCCGAGCCAAAGGCAGACCTTTAAATGAGCCACCCGGGCGCCCAAGTGTCAGCACTTTAATTAGGCACCAAGCTTGTTCCTCCAGCACAATATTAACCTTTCCATTCACAAAATACTTTTTATAGGATTTTTAATGTTAGAAACTTTGGAGTTTCTGTAATTTATATCCAGGGGAAAAAATGGGTGATATATTGAACATGTACTCTGATATAATGTACTAAGTGCTTTGGGCAAAAAGTCTCTCATTAGGGGCGCCTGGGTGGCTCAGTGGGTTAAGGCCTCTGCCTTTGGCGTGGGTCATGATCTCGGGGTCCTGGAATCAAGCCCCGCATCCGGCTCTCTGCTCAGCAGGGAACCTGCTTCCCCCTCTCTCTCTGCCTCTCTGCCTACTTGTGATCTCTGTCAAATAAATAAAAATAAAAATCTTAAAAAAAAAAGTCTCTCATTAATTTTACAATGACATAAAGAGGTAGAAACTATTAAATACAACGTAAGGCACATAGAACAGTGGCTGGCAAAGAAGTGCTAGGTAAATGTTTGTTCGCAATCTATTTGGCAGATGAGAAAGTCGCCAAGCTAAATGCCATGTTCAGGGTCACAGGGGCTAGAAAGCTGAAGATGTCATTTATTCAAGTACCGGCTGTGCATATATGAAACCCTTCCCTTGAACCCGAAGTGGACTGTCTCATGCCATGAGTTAACTGCGGGCCAGATAAGACGCAAGACGGGAGTATTTTCGCTTTTTGCAGATTGGGAGGTGGTTGTGAGGCGGCTGGGGAGAGACTGGGATCGGAAGAGGGGGTCGTGAGGCGAGGAACCGTCACGTGTTTGGCTGCTGTTATTTTTGAGGCCTATCCAGTGTCTCCCAACATTTCTGTAATTTGTAATCCTGTAGAAAATACACTTGTGGGGGCACGTGGGTGGTTCAGCCAGTTAAGTTGCCTACCTTCAGCTCGGGTCATGATCTCAGGGTCCTGGGATCGAGCGCCTAGTCAGGGAGCCTGCTTCTCCCTCTCTCCTCCCCAAGCTCATGGGTGCTCTGTCAAATAAATAAAATCTTTAAAAATATATCTGTTTGCTGATCGTGAGTACCAGACATCAGCCTAAGGATCACCTCATCTCCCCGCTCCTCAGTGTCACACAGTAGGACGCCAGTACCCAGGAGCCTAGAACTGAAGAGCGTGTGACCAGCTCCTCGCTCCCCGCGTGGAGCACCCTTAACCCAGGCACAGGCTGTTACCCCAGTTGCAGGCGGTGAGTTCCACATGATGCCTGTTTTCCTAGAGCTTTAGAGTTAGGAAGAAGAAAAGCACTTGTTTAATAAGGAGCATTTACCTGCTCTCTGTGCTACCCTTGTCAGAAAATGCCTGAGTAGAAAGAGACAAATATTAAGGCAATCTTAGACTCTTCATTTACTTCTGCATTCAAATATTGTTCAGCTCCTATTCTGCACCCAAACAGTTCTAAAACATCAGGATTTATTTTAAGTCACATTGATAGAGACAACGGATGTTTGAGAAATTAGGTGCTATATAAATGGAAGTATAAGAAATGGACCTAACCCCAAAGGAAGCTTACATTCCAACTGAGGAGGCAAGACCAATAAAACTCACAAACACATTAAAATAACAATGTCTACTTAAGTGGTACATTGCACGGCAGAGAATAAATTCCAGAAAGATAATCAACACCAGCTTCAGTCACTGAGGAAAATTTCATGGGTTCTAAGTGGGATAGTAATGGAATCTTATTAGAAATTCAATTTATCTCGACAAAGACCGTCAACAGCAACAGTGACGTGACCGAGCATTTACTATGTGCCAGTAGCTGTTTAAGTACTTCAGAGATTCTCAATCCCCACAACCCTCAGGTCGGGACTGTTATTTCCAATTTACAGTCAAGAAAACTGAAGGATAAGCAGTGTCACTTGCCTGATTCCACGGGGCTCGTAAAAGAAAACTGGATCAACAAACGAAGACACGGAGGGCCATGGGGGTGCAGGTGGCTTCCTCCAGCCGTGCACTCATGCATCGACGGGGCTGCCGCAGAGCCCAGCCTGTGTCCTCTTCATTTCCCACGCTCTCTGCGGTGCTTTCATTTACTCCCTTAACATTGCCTTCTCCAGCAAATAGCCTCTTTTGAATTCCAAACTGTTTTCTCTCTACTGGATATCATGCAAACACCTTACATTTTAAATCCCAAAACTCAACCACCTATCATTCTTCCTTTCCCCACAAAAATGCTTACATGACTATTTCTTACCTCTATAAAGGGTATCTCACTATTCTATAATCCATATTGTTTTAGCCTATTTTCTGCTCATTTCAGGAAACCCAGAAGTGTTACAGAAGCAAAGTGGGGAGTCCCGGCAGATGGCTAGGGCACTCATGCCATTACAGTGCACAGCCATATGTCTCAAGCTTGGCCGTATTATACTCTTCATATTCAGGTCGCCCAGCACATACAGGTGTTAATGCTTGATATGTTTTCATATGCATGATTTCCACAGCTCTTGAACAGTCATAGCAATGAATATGAAGCTTTGGTTTTCAACCCTAAATCATCTGATTTACCTAAGCGATAGAGATGCCTGGGCTCTACCCCCTCAAGTATCTACTTAAGGCTGAGATATGGCCTCAAAGTGTGTGCCTCATCTCACAATAAAGAGCCACCAACCCCAAAGAACTCTTAGATGCCTATCATCCAACACCCATACCTGAGGAAGACAGTTTTCACTTGAAAAAACTGATGCTTGCAGAAGTCAAATTTTCTTTGCCCAACATCACAGGGCAAATAACAGAGCTGGACCTCAGAAACATTCATTTGAAATAATTAGTTCCACGGACTATATTAGATTACTAATTATTTCAATTTCTAAGAAATTGAAATAGAATGTCTCACACATCTTAATAAATCTTAACAAGGATTCTCTTGTTTTAAAATTTCATATTATCTCATTATAGAATCACGGCAGAGACTAAAATAACAAACCCATTATTTAATTTGGCCTGATCTTTAGAACAAAAAGGCCAATCACAAGCTGGTTATAGACCAGTTATTTGTGGCAGAGACCTGCTCGGCAACACACCATGACCTGCCACAAGGACAACCTCTTCCCACAGGCCAGCAGTAAGACTTGACCCATACTCCTCAGAAAGTTCTCAATGGACACATAGGAAATGGAATAGTGAAGCAATGTTGTTAGGCTTCCTCTGTATTTACACAGAGTGTGAATACCTTGGCTAACATTAGCGCTACTTTACACATCTAATACAATATGTCATCCTCTGAAAAATCTACACGTCTGCATGACCAGCAGATGCCCACCAGCCGCTCTCTCAGTACCTCACATTTGACAGCAAAACCGGTAGAGACAAAAGACGGAGCATCTCCACAGAGTCTTCCTACTCCTACTATTCCTCCTCGTGAACATTATGGAGAAAACTCAAAATTTCCCTTTTTCTTCCATTAAATCCAGTGACTCTTCAACTTAAAGCACTATTTGACCATTACGCCTAATCTAACTTTCAAAAGAATCCCATCATTTAACATTATTATGACATTTTAAACATGATAGTAGTCTTACCTTTTCAACTAAGAAAATAAGACCTGTTATTTCAAGGTATTCATCCAAGAGGGGAAAGCTTAACTTAAAAAAAAGAAAGAAAAGAAAAAGACAGTGCAAAAAATGCATGAGTGCTATAAGAGTTTAATTGTAAGACAAAAGCACTACATTATAATTTGAACATAAGTAATCTTCCAGAAAAGAAAATCTAGTGCAAATTAAAACCCCATAAAGCCCACTATAAACTTAATATGAAGACTAAAAATAGGCTTCTAGAAATGGAAACACTTGGTTCTAACAGAATTTGCTGGAGAAGGTCTTGAAAATGTTAAGTGGTACAGAGAACATGTTAGTTTAAAATCAAGTCAACCAGGTACTAAAAAAAGACATGCTGATAGGTCTTAACACATAAAACTAATTGACTAGTAGTAGCATGCTTTATATATCAGTGATTGTAGCAGTGTACAACAAATTTCTGAGCATTTCAAAGTTTTATTGCCTTAGCCAATTTAACTACACTGTAATGAGCCATCTTTCAATTTTTTTTTAAAGGGTTCCACTTCATCAGCGAGATTGTCAAGTGTCTTCTAAAAATGTGATTAACCCTGTGTAACCCAAGGCCATCCATACAACCAAAAAAAGGGCAATCATAGAATTTTTTCTTGAGTACTTATTCAAAGCAGACCTTCCATGACATGTTAAATGTTGCTTTTAGGTTCTGACATTAACAGACCTCTTAAGTTTCTTCCAGTATTTTATTTTTGGGAGAAATAAAAGATCCAGAAAAGTAACCTTGCATTCAAATTCTTAAGTGCAAACAGAATATAGCTTATCCAGTTACAAAATATATAC